TGCGTTTTCCGGTAAGGGTTAGTTACACTTGGTCTAACATGCAGTCCTCTAGCCCTTTGCTGGCGTTTTCCCTGCGAGGGGCTTGCCACCAGGTCTGTCTGGCCTTCAGTTGGCCAAGTGACTGGAGGGGCGACTCCAGGAAGCCCTGTGTGGGGAGCAGAGTGGCGGTTGGGCACCAGAACACTGCACGTGACTGATGGCATGCTGGCTGCAGAGCGGCAGGTGTGGGACTCCGGTGGCACTGCTCTGACTGTCCCAACTGGTACTCCACGTAAGGCCACTTGCCCCGAGGGCAAACCGAAACTCCTTGAGTCTGAGAAACCAGTGACTGTCAATGCTTAAGGCTACCTTGTTGGGTGAGTGCGAACTGGTTTGGAAGATATTCAGTCTCCGGGCTGCTGACTGCCCACAGGAAGCCATGGGGCGGGGTGCGCAGAGGCCCCCACACGATGCTACCACCCGCACTCACAGAAAGAGATCACCCCTGGGCTGCGCCGTGCTTCCCTGACTTTCTAGTCTTTTTCCACTGGAGTGTTGCCTGGCCTTTTGTGGGTGCTGAGCCCTGGGTAACCAGGCTCGCCACAGCCTTATCCCTGGCAGGCAGAGAGGGTGCAGCCTCTTAGGGCAGCCGTCCTGAGACTAGAAGGCCTCTCTCTGGCTCTCTGCAGTCACAGCTCCAAATACTCAAATCCCTATCTCACTGCCGGGAGCCCACCTTGCTCAGAAGGAGAATGCCCCCAGGGTGGGAGACCCCCAAGGTTGCTGCCAGGGTCTGGGTAAGCTCTGGGGGGAGCCCCATGGGCCTCAACGCCAGTGGGGGAAGCTGAAAGACTATTTGTTCTCGTGGAGAACAAAACTCCGAGACCAACCTTATTTTAAGAGCGCGCTCTCTTTTGAGACAATCATCTCCCAGTTGTAGTCTGTGGGTTTTCTTTACAAGGTGGTGACGGAGGAGGCCTCACCTCGAGCCCTGCCAGTTTGATTGGCAGACTGTGTGTGTCAGCTCCTTGAAGAGGGGAGGTTCTGAAGGGCCGGGACGGAATGTGCCGCTTTCTCCGCACAGACTCTGAGTTTCTGGTCTAGTGGGAACCGATTCATGACAACATTCTTCTAGATGTTGTAGAGACAAAAAGATATGGGCGTGGCCCTGTCCTCACAGAGCTTACAATGCATCGGGGCGAAGGGCTTCGCTCACCAGTCTGGGAGTCCCCACAGATGTGGGGGACACATCTGCAGGAGGCTCCCGTCTTGGGGTGAGGCACTTCCGTTTCCTACAGGTCACTCCAGAGATGGGAGGGGGCAGAGGTGGCTCCGTGGGAGAATCCTCTCCTTCCATCGGGGAGACCTGGCGTTGGTGCCCAACCAAGGAGGCACTGCCCGACTGCGAGTGGAGGCTTATGCGTAACAATGAGGTTGAAAGGTTTCAGCAGCGTTTGCAGACTGAGAAAGACACGGAGGAAAGGCCTGGGGATCTGCTCCTCAAGAACCAGCCAATGAAAACCCGAAGGGTCACAATGTTTCGACTTGAAACCCTGGTGCTGGGCTGGGTAGCATTTCACCCCAGTGGGGTTGGGGGCTCCATGCACTGAGGGGGCAACTCCCTGGCAGCTAACAATCACCACGAAGTGAGCAACTGGACCACCATGGAAGAAAGGCGAAGGGGCCACCCCCGGTTTGAGTGTGAGAGAGCAGTGGAGGGGTCTGGAGAAGGGGGAGGTGGGGGGGAGTGCAACCGAGTCCCTGCGAGTGACCGGATCTGGGAGTTCAGACCCGGGCTTGCCACCTTCTACTCCAGAATCTGGATGGAATGTGACTCTGTAGACTCTGTAGGCTGACTGCTGCTGCGAGGGCCCTCGGACCCAATGGGGAAACTGAGGTGTGCGTGGCTATGCCTCCTCCCCCCACCGAGATGACCACTTTTTCCAAACTGTAAGAGTCTCAGCTGTCCCCGTACCTCCTACCCTCGGCCCACAGAAAGGGCTCGGTGAGGGTCTGTGGTCAGGGGAGTGACCTTGGCGTGGCCATGGCCTTTCCTGGAGGAAGGTCAACATCTTCTTTTCCAGAAAACGAAAGGGCGCTGGGATTCGAGGGGAACACTGCAAGGCTAAGCCGGCTCTGCTCTGGGCAGTGGCTGAGGGCACGGTTTTAGGAGTGGAGCCAACTGGACTGATCCCCGCTCTGCCGTGCATATCTCTGGGGCTGTGGGTGAGTGGCGTCACCTCTGTGAGCCTCCACTTTCTCAGTTCAAAACCAACGGCAGTGGTACCACCCCTCTGAAGGCCGGGGTGAGGACTGTGTGAGAGAACGGACTGGGAGT